GAATTTTTCTAAAGAAGAAATGGTGAATATGGTGTTCGTTTCGGGCGAAGCCCAAAGAAATAGTTTCCTATCATCTCGCATTTATAAGCAACGGTACCCTAATATGTGACACTCACACATCATGAAGTTTTCCGTACATATTTGCCCTCAAGACTTGAACGAGAGAGCTCTTCAACACACAGCATCTCTGGCTAAACGTCGTAATCTGTCCGATGGGTGGCTGTGACTAGCTAGATGCGAGGTTAGTCATAGCACCGTTGCAGATGGTCGGCAATGTCGGTAGGGCAGGGGGAAATTTATAGATCGCAATGATGTCAAATACGTTAAGACTAAAAGTCAGGGCCATGGTTTAGACAACTGTATTTGTTAGTCCCTGTTAGTCAGAGATTCCTTGTTCGACTTGATCATTTACTGCACGGCAAATACCTAGTCAATCTACTTGACTTTTTCATTTATGTACATATGGATAACCATATGATTATTTGCATCTCATAATATACATCAGCACTTTACATAAGCAATTAACTGCATGGCAAACAATCAGTCTTACAAAATCACAATTTAGCATTGCTGCTTTCTAAAACGGGATTGGTTGAGAATTTCACGTATGATTCATACAATCCCATTATGGATTTTTTACAGAGCTAGTACGAATATTGCAACAGTATCACGTGAAAGTATTATTCTATTAATGCGATTTTTTTATGCATCCAAAATGAACCAGCTAAATTAATTTGCTCTAATTTATAATCATATCGGAAGTTTTATTTATAGCTCTCTCTTATTAAAGCGTGCCATATTTCTATTTCTCTCGCGGTTTTTAAAGGAAGTGCCGGGTTTATTAATTGGAGAGAAAAGATCAGTGGATCAAGGTTGGTGCAGTAGTAGTAGTAGTAGTAGTAGAAATGAGGAGGCAAGGCCTGGTAACTAGGTTCTGTTTCCCGACTTGTAATACCAACACTAAGAGTGGCGAGCACCAACAAAGGGAATTCAAAACTAAATTAGTATGTTGCTAAAAATATAAGAAAATGGTTCTGTATATAGTTGTAGTAGAAAGAACTATGTAGCATTGACATTAAAAATATCAACTCATCAGTGGTGTACAGAACTACTGAAGTTGACAATTATTTTCAGTAACGTATTTAGTTTTAAATTTGCTTGCTCTGGTGCTCCCCACCATAAAGGTCACATCTAACGACGCTCCTTCAGGACAGAATGCCGGTCGACAACTGATCCTTCTTAGAAACAAACATTAACGCTTTCGTTAGGAACGTTCCAGGGAGGATTTAGCATTTGCAATTCACAATAAGCTGTAACACTTGTTTGTCATCGCAGGTTTCCGAAATTTGGAAAATTTCCAGACTTTTCGAAATCTAAACAATTTTTGACATTTGCAAATTTTCAGAAACACCTATAGCCTCAAAATTTTCGAAATTTTCAAATTTCCACATTCTTTGAAATTTCGAAAATTCTGAAAACTTTGTAATCTTGTAAATTTTTAAATATTCTGGAAAATTTTGATCATTTCGGTAGTTTTGGAAATTTTGATAACCGACACCAAGGAATACACCGTCACGATCAACTTTAGATTCTTATAAAATTTTTGAGTTCAATAGGTTTTTTGTATGGTTTTCAAGTTGTTTTCTGATTACTTGGGAGCACAGCAATCCTTTGCAAGATCCACAACCGTTATGATTTTGGACATTTCTGATATCTAAATCTCTTGATAAATACTTGAATAATGCATCTATAATTTTTAACAACACATCTTTACAAATAGTATGTATTGAAAAAAATTTGCTTGGTTTCATTTCTCTTTTATTATCCAGATGCTGACTAATTAAAGATACACAATGAGAGAATCTAAATAAAGTTTTCATGCCGCACCTCTTAGATCGAATATTTATATTTAGATTAGTTGTTTTTTTTTTGTTTTTTTTAAAGACTATTTTTACCGCAGCCTGCACCGTTAATGACATGCTTTTCTACACGGTCTTATTTCTTATTAGATCAAGTCTAAAAATGTTCTGATTAAATGGATAGCTTGTCAAACAACCTAAAAATAACATCATAGCGTAATATTACTACCGTATTAACAAATGATACATTTTACGAGGGGGTATCAAAAAAACTGGAATTGTTTTTTGAAAGCTGTTTATTTTCAAATTTTTCACAAAGTAACCTTATCTGCTTCAAAATAATGTCCACTACAACTCATACGCTTGTCCCACCGGTGCTTCCACTGCTCGAAACATTTTTTGAAGTCTTCCTTAGAAATGTCTGACAGCTCCTCCCTCGTTGTTTTTTTGACCTCTTCAATGTCGTCAAAGCGGCGTAATTTCATGCCCCATTTCATCCGTGGAAATAAGAAATGTCGCACGGAGCCAGGTCAGGTGAATAAGGTGCGTGAGGCAGCGGAACCATGCTATTTTTACCCAGAAACTGTCGAACAGAGATGGCTGTGTGCGCAGGTGCATTATCGTGGTGGCAGAACCAGTCTCCTGACTGCCACAAATCGGGTCCTTTTTGCAGAACACTGTTTCGCAATCGTCTTAAAACCTCCAAATAGCACAAGCTCTCGAATTTTTTCAACATTTTCGTCGATTGGGACAGCTGATGGACGTCCAGAGCGAGGTTTGTCATCAATCGACATGTCGCCATTTTTAAATCGAGCAAACCACTCGTACACCTGAGTTTTTCCCATAGCATCATCTTTGTAAGCTATTTTCAACATTAAAACAGTTTCAGCAGCATTGTTACCAATAGGAGAGCAAAATTTCACAACTGCATGTTGCTCACTGAAGCTGGCCATCATAAAAAACGAAAAAAGCACGAAACAGCTCTAGCAAAAATAATGACTACAAAGGAACAAAACAAGCCAGATCGACAACAACTCAGGTGGCACTCAGTGCCGGATGCTCCGGTGTTCGATTTTCGTCCGCCGGCGCGCATGACGTCACGAAGCTCCGCCCACATGCGCAATATCCTATCTTTAGTGGATGTTATCGTGGGTGGCACTGAACTGGTAATGAGTTGCACTGTACGCCTCTAGGGGCAGAAATGTGTACTACACAAGCTCCGCCCACTGCAATGCTATTCCGGTTATTTTTGGGTACCTCCTCGTATATGTTGTTCCCATCGAGTTTTTTTTCGGTATGTCCATCTATGATTGCCCATTAACTGATATCTCAATCACAGGATTGGTGATAAATCTTTAGGAACATCTGTTTTGTCAGATTGTGTACGCAAACCTACATACATCGTCATGCTACCCATTGAATAAATAACGACGTCAAAATTACCATCACAATTCTTTTCTGACTACTTTTAGAGTTTTTAATGCTACAAAAATAATGAGTCGTTAAGCTTTTTATTACGCTAATTGTGACAGTGACAGAAAATAAGGGTGGTTGGAAAAAGTCTTTTAACCACGGCAGTGAATCGTAGTAATTTGACAGAAATGACTACTGGCAGTCATAGCAGGATGTTTATTTTTTCATCTATTTTGACGAGAGGCTAACTCCGAAATTTCTAGACCTTATTAAATTTTTTCATGGAAAAACTTCGCTAATATTTGTGTCCAAACCGGCCAAGAAATAAATAAGTTTAGGATCATAGAACGACAAGTGACCGCAAAACCAGCAGAACTACAATAAAAGGCTACTTTGCTACATTGCGTATACAGGGTGTCCCAATATTCCGTGGACAAAGAAGGAGATTTACCTATTTGCAAAAGTATTTTGTTTGTCCTTTACATGGCGCCAAAGTTTTCTTTTATAAAAATTGTAGCAGAATTTTTTCCCAACTCTCCCAACGACTTTGATTTTCATATAAAAGATCCCTTTATTCTCTTCATTTAGTGGTTTAGTAAAAATCAAATACTAGAACGTGCAGCAAAGCATATGTTCCGAATTTCATTCAAATCGGACTATTGGTTCTTAAAACATCTTAAAAAGACAACTTTGACGCCCTCTAATGGACAAACGAAGCACTTTTGAGTCTAAAAATACATGGTACTTCTATGCTCACGGAATATTGGAACACCCTGTAGGTGTAGGTCAATTCAACAATTCAATTCGTTGCCATCACTGCCGATGTGTTGCTTTATTTTTATCTGTGACCTAAAACTCGTAGTTCTATTATATTTTAACCAATATGTTCTTACAATTAGAGATAATTTTGGGCTTAGCAACATGCAGATTAGTTAAAAGGCGTCCTTTTTGGAAAAAATATGCAAAAACCGAATCAGAATATTTTTCCGAGCAGATGCGAGAATACTTCCTTTGCTATGAAGGAATGTTTGCATTACAGTTGCATGTGCTGCATCGATGTTTTGGAACATGCGCTAGAGATTTGTTGAATGGAAAACAGCCTGTAACCTGTTTGGGAACAAGCTCCGTGGAGAGAAATGTGCGGCGCGCAACATGTGCCGCAACTTGTCGCAGACTAGAGAGTAGTAGTACTTATTGTACAATTTTATATATGTTAGTGTCAGAGTATATCACCTTTTCAGCACGGTTTTATGGAAGGGAGGTCCACAACGACTAATCTAAGTTGTTTTTCACAGTTCATTTTTGAACCCCTGGATGGCGGAGTTCAAACCGTCATTCATACAGGTATTTTTAAAGCATTCGATAGGTTGGACCTCAATCTGCTACTAGAAAAACTTGATAGAATGGGCTTTTCAAATGATTTAGTATGCCATCTGTCCAACCGTAAGCTGTTTGTGGAATTCAAGGGACCCAAATCTCGCAAGTTTACTCCAATGCCAGGTGTTTCACAGGGATCATCGTTAGGACCACTACTTTTAAAATTCTTTTATAAATCCTCTGTAGGGGAGTAAGGGAGACAGAGCTAGCGCGCGATCTGCGCATGCGTGCAATTTCGGACTTACTCTTTGTTGATTGGGAACTCGGCACAGCACATCGGAGGCGGATACTTTTTCTAGGTAGTAAGTACATTCTCACCTTGTACATTGCGAATGTTGCCATTAATCCAAGATGCAAGGCTGTACAGTCGATCATGCAGTCATTTATCTAGGCTCTGCTGCTGGACAAGCTTATGTAGCACTAAGTCGTGCAAGATCTTTAGACGGTAGTCGGATTGGAGAACTTGATTGGTCTAAGTTAACAGGACCTCTTGCTACAGTAAAGCTTTAAATGAAATGATTAGATTACGAAATGATTTGTAGGACATTTCAATACCACATTTCCACAAAAGACTAATTGATAAATCGAGCTAAAAAATGAAAAATAAATAATGGTTTAAAAAACTAAAAAAACACGCGGCTAAAAAGTAAAAAATAATTTTGAATTACAAAGAGTTTATATTACATTTATATTTTACTACATTTTCGTAACTCTTATATCATAAATAGTTGCCAATAGAATGATTGTAACATTTAATATATCAAGTACCCCACGCTTACTCTGAATTTAATTATTCTGTTAAAAGCTTAAATTTTATTATAGTTTTATTTTGAGGTCATTAAATATGATTGATTGTTCGACCATCTACTACTGTAATATAAACTCTTTGTAATCAAAAAATATTGTCTACTTTTTAGTTTAGTTAGCTATAAAAGCGTGTTTTTTTAGTTTTTTAACTATTTTTTATATAAGATACTCATTAATGTCGCACCACTATTTACATCTCTTCCTCTAAATAAATGCCTGCCTCTGTGTTTTTTCTTTTCCATTAGGTTGCAATAGCCCATTAATATGAACGCAGCCTAGCTACTTCTAGGTCTGATACTTCGACACACACTGCAGTAGAAAAATGTAGAGCACTTTTGAGCCGAACATTCCAACTGAACATTCTTAAATCACGATCTTTGTGATGTAATTAATGCTCCATATTCAATCAGTCGCCGTATTTACATATCATTCTACGTAATTTAAACAACAATAGTATTTTATTCCTCTGTATGACCCTCCATCGATTTCTTTTCTCAGTATCAATCGTCAAGTGTTCAGAAACTATAGAGGCAGTTCTATAGCTTCCGGACACTGCAGAGTGTCAGGTAAGAGTCCAGCGCACTAGTTGCAAATTGGAATGTCCATGGCAACTTGTGGCATATATCGCGCATTTTTGTCATCAACGCTTGTAATGGAAACATATTTTTAGATTAGATACGTTCTTCACCCGAGTTACATCAATTCACCGCTGATAGTTCATATTATATGAACTCAAGTTGAAAAAATAAGGTCACTGCTATCAATTTCAAATGTGCATTTACCGAAAAATTAGCGAGTAAAGAAAAAAGTGAAATGCTCCTAAAAAATCAGGAAACAGTCCGTCAATTTATTTCAAGAGCGTATCGTCCTTTGAATGCCTGAAAAAAGTGAAATTCTCGACCACATTACCGATGGTAATGGTAGCCTTACATAACGGTACGACCAGCTGAGTTTACTGTTTTAAAATAAATTTGAGCAGAGGGTATGAAGCAGAGGCTGCAATCACCATGGGCGTACCCACTGCTACTCTCCGTAGGTGCGGAGGTTGTGTTTCGAAACCAGGATTGATTTGTGGTCAATGCACCAGGTTTACCTGAAATAGTTCTTCATCGATAGCAGATACGTAAAAAGTTTTGAAAGCAAAAACTTAATTTTTATCAATTGTTGAGGGCGACCAAAATTCAGTACACTGGGGTCATTTGGGATGCTGAATGTCAATGTGGTCATCAAAAAAGCCTATTTAAAGTACAAAAAAATACTGACACCAGATTTATGATCCATACATCTGTTTTCGTCAACCGTTGTTACGAGCACTGGGTTAATTTGGGACGTTGATTACCAAAATCGCAGCCTCATAACTCTTGGTTTCACTTAATTTTTTTTCCTTTGAAATGCGTAGAATTTGACGTTTTTCAACAATCTAAAATAATGTTCCTTAGGAATCTACTATTTTTACAACCAGAGGCGCAAAAAGTGGTTAGCTTCACATAAAATCATAACAATATTTACGTACCGCAATGTGTTGTATATTTCACAGAAATGCTTTATATTTGTACTTTATCAGTTATTTTACGAAAATGTAGTCTAAAAATAATAGTTTTTATCAGAAACTAATGATTTATGAACATTTATAAAATGCATAGAAATTGTAGCAATGTCAGTGTTAAATACATCAAAAACTGCCATTGTTCATACCGGGGCAACGTTGCCGAACCGTATTATTTGCGAAAAAGAGACTTAGTCCCAAGTAAATAGGTTATTAATGAGTAATTATTCGTTGCAGCAACAGTGTTTCAATTACAAAGATAAAGCAAAAATCTGTGAGCTAAATGACTTTTTTATAAATGGTTTTCCCAATGTATACTGAAAATCAGATAAAATCCTGAACAGTCTAGGTCCGACTGGGGCGCTCTTAATGTATTAAGAAATTCATAAATTGCGTAAATATGGCAACGCCGCATGATAATTGAGATGAAACCATTTTATACATAACGTATATGTTAAAAGCATTAACGTGACCGAAAAACCGATAAATATCCTCAAACGCAACCTTTTCAAACAGGTATTTAGGTTCATATTTTCATCTTTAAAATGGAGTAATGTCGAGTTTTATAGTCACAGTCACTCACGATCAGAAGTTCGGAGTGTGTTTATACAACTTTCTTAATAGTTATAAACAGTTGTCGATTTCTGTTTTCGATGGAAGATAGTCTCCTGGCCCCCTGGTCGATTCTGATAACAATAGAAACAAAAAAAGTAAAAATCGAACAAATGGTGGATACGGCGAAAATCAAACGCAAAATGGGATAGCGACAAGGACAGCAAAGCACAAAACATCGACAACCTACAAAAAATCAACTCGGAGAACCATATTAATAAATTTGTGCACAAAGACTTTGTAAAATGACATTTTACATAATATAAGAGTTAAAAGTTACGCACTTCCATCCCACTATGGGTAAATCGTCGTCAACTCTTCATTGGTTTTAACGCAATAAATAAAAATTCCAACTTCTAGGTAGTTTTTCTCTCGTATCCAACAACCATACAATGGACATATGTACAGGGTGCGGCAGAGAGGACGGACGTTTTTGGGATCGGTAGTACTCTCCGCCTCCGTCTAAGAGAGAGGTGGGGCGGGTGCCGTTTGACTCGTGAGATCCTAGCATTATTTTACCAGTTGTCGTGATGGAGCCTTGGACGGTGGAGCACCGCGTTTTCGCCTATGATTGTTTCGTCCGAAATAATGAGTCAGTCATCGTCGTACAGCGTGAGTTTCGTCGCCACTTCAACATTCATCGGAATAGAGCTGTTCCCTCTCGAAATACCATGCTGCTGCCTTAGTGATCGTTCGGCAAGGCAAATTTTGCATATGGATCTCCGCTTTCACCCCTACAAATTGGCCATTGTGCAACAGTTACAGCCCGGAGATTATGCACAACGAATGAACTTCGCACGTGAGATGGAAGCACTGATCGATCAAAATGAGAACCTCATTTTGTTTATCAGTGACGGAGCCCAATTTCAGAAGCCACAAGCCCCGAACTCTGGACGAATTGAAGTGCGAAATTCGCGTGGAAGTCGCCCAAGTTGAGAGAGCGATGTTGGAGAGAGTCTACGCGAACTTCCAAGAACGCCTCCAGCACTGCATCAACGATTTCGGCCACCACATGCCTGATGTGATTTTCCACACTTGACTGTCTCAAATGCTATTTCCTTGTGAACCTGATTCCATCAATAAATTTGTTTTCGAGTGAAAATGAACTATTTTATGATTTTTTTAAAACCGTCGATCCTCTCTGCCGCACCCTGTACAAGGAGCACATATTTGTTTTTTAATGGTTTGCACATACATTAGGTACGTCAATGTGGGACGGACAACTGTAAAAAAGCCGCGGAATATGAATTTAATTAAGTGCAAGTTTATTATAAAAGCCGATAAATATCCTCAAACGCAACAGTTTGCTTTACATTTTTAACTTTAAAATTTAGAATCGCCTCGCAGCCATAAATTATATTGAGCAAAACGTTCTTCAGTAGTATTTTTTTTAGTTCCTCAATGCAAAATTTCTATTTCCGCTACCCGTTGTTCCAAGCGAATGAAACTCAGTATATTGGGGATGCTGTAAACGTATTAGCATGTTGAGATATATGGTCGACGTGCATACAGAATAGTCATCACCTCTTCATTGGTTTTAAGCGCAATAAATAATCTTAATATGAACTTCTGCATGAAAATATCGCGGACCGAACGCCACTAGGCGCGTGCGGATACCCGACTGGTGTTTACGTCATGACTGGAGGTGTGACTCAACTGTACCAAAAATGCGTGCAACAAGCTCTTAGTTGGTCTTATTGGTTTGTACATTGGTTAGGTACGCCAATGTGAAGCGGCCAGGTGTAAAAAAGCCGTGGAATATGAATTTAATTAAGTGCAAGTCTATTATTAGCAATAGCCGGCTGAGAGGCGGTTAATATTCGATTCAACTCGGTGATCTGAAGAAAGTGAGATCACGGACGTAGCCACCCATAGACGTGGTATTGAATAATACAGTTATGGTGAATAATCGCCACATAACAGACACTACCGTCTAGTCACAGATGACCTACTATGATATTTCGGCTTTTTTGTTTCCATGTCATTCCCCGTTCTGGTTTGCGGAACAACTGGAACCGATCTCGCTATACAAAAAGACTAACTCTGTTTGGATGAGTTTATCCACGTGTCTGTGCAAAAAAATGGCACAGACGAGGTGAACTTTATTGCAGATGGTAAAGCTTCCATCAAGAGAAATATGATTTTTGTTAAGTATTTGTGATCGCAAGTCTTGTACAACTAGAGGAAACTCCCACCCAGTATTGGGCTTCTGAGCTTCCCAACAAGAGTATAAAATATCTTCCTTTTGATTCCTATTCTACCTATACAATTGTTCCCCATATTTGACTCTGCTGGCACTTGTTTTTTATACAGATGTTCTGAAGCATTACCAATTTTCTGGTATTAGCCATGCAAGGCTAAAACTCCCACCCAGTATTGGGCGTCTGAGCTAGAAAGTAGTTGATGTCGCCGTGTTGCCAGAGGGGCCCTCTAGGCTTAGGACTACTCTTTTGTTCCCAGAATATTCACAACGTAGAGAAACCTGTCATCGTAGTATACCTGTACTAATTTTTTGACCAGCTCAAAACCTTTT